CGACTACGGCATGCACGACTATGAGTACACCCCCCCCCCCCCCCCCCCCCCCCCCCCCTCTCCCCGTTTGCAGGTGCTACCGGCGTTAGCCCCTCGACTTGCGGTCACCCTTTGGTTCTACGGCAGACAGCTGGGACTCCCGGCGTCGCCCTCGGCGCGAAGGCCATCGTCGGTCCCACCACTCCCAGCTCCGGAGCAGCAGCTGGCGCCGGGAGATGACACCCGCGACAACGTTCGCCCGCTACCGCCGCCCGACGGGAGTGGCGCAGCGCACGCAGCCGAGGTGAGCCCTGGAGCTGCCGATGTGTTGAGGTTGTTCACCAGGAGGAAGAGGTGTATGTGTGTGTGTGTGACAGTAGATTGGGGCAATATAAGCCGTTGCCGCGGGCTCTCAAGATCAAAAGGGGCCCTCTGTAATTAGCCCTTGCCTTCGAGGCCTACCCCTCTTTCTCCGCCGCTTCGCGCCGCACCCTCTCTCCCGGCGTCGTCCCCCTTTCACCAGGCCTCGATATTCGTGAGCGTCGTGAGCTACCGAGACTCGGAGGCGAACCCTACCGTAGTCGACCTGTTCGCTCGCGCGGCCAACCCGGGGCGAGTGAGCGTGGGTCTGGTGTGGCAGTTGGAGGCGGGCGTTGCGGAAGACGAGGCGATGCGCCGGGCGACGCCCGGGGGCAAGGAGATCAGGGGCGGGCGGGTGCGGTCGTTGTTCATGCCGGCGGTAGAAGCGGCGGGTCCTTCCTGGGCCCGGCGCGTGGCGCAGTCTCTGTGGAAAGGGGAGAAGTACGTGCTGCAGATCGACAGCCACACGCGGTTTCGGCCTGGGTGAGCGAGAGGAGACCGGGAGCGGCTTGCGTTCCATCTGTTTGGTTATTCTGTCAGGATTCTGATTAATCTTTCTCGCTCTGCATAAGTATCGCCGTCGGTGGCTCGTCTTTGAGAACCTGTAGAGTTGACAAGCCGCTGATCGCGTCACGACGAGGCTAGATTTGTACGTACTGGATCACCGGCGGGTTGAAAAGGTATTGTGTTGTTCAGACAAGCTCGGTGCATCGATCAAGTAAAGAGGCTTGCTTAGCACGATCTGGAACATCCAAGGACATCAACGGAGGCTGGAATCCCCACCGACCCCCCGCCTACCACTATTTTATGACGATGGATGGCCACCAATGTGATTATCGCGAAATTTTTCCTGGTGTTCACCTTGCGGAAAAAGGATTCAATATGAAAACTCATTCGTCTCGAGAGACGATCGATTCGAAATCCCCGACGGAAAGACGACAATCCGGGCGCCCCCCCCCCTACCGCCGGGCTCCCTTCTGCTTACCGCTGCAGCTGGGACTCCTACCTCATCCAAACCCTGCAGAGCTGCCCGTCCTTCAAGCCGGTCCTAACCACGTACCCGGTGGGGTACGAGATGCCGCACAAGATCCCTGCGGGGGAGACCAGGCCGACGCTGCTTGTCCCTGACGGCTTCGGGCCAGACGGGATGCTGCGCCAGACGGGCAGGCTGCTCCTGCGGAAGGCGCGCGACCCGTTGCCTTCTCCGCTTTGGGCCTCGGGGTTCAGCTTCAGCGCGAGCGCTATGCTCGTCGAGGTCAGCAGTATTGTCTTACGCCTGTGTTGAGCACCCTGCTGCTGCCGCTGCCGCTGCCGCTACGTGTTCGGCCTTATGGTATGACACTCTCGAAGCTCCGGAGCCGACGGGGGTAGGTGGGTGGGGGCACCTGGCGTGTCCCGGGCTCGCTGTCGACAGGGAAGACTGCCCGTATGGGGCGGTGCGCGTCCCTGCGTTTGTTGTGGTGCGGTCGGCAAGCAAGCTTGTTGGTGAGGATTGCGGGGCGACAAGCGCATTGTGCGGCAATGCGTGCACACCCTCCTTGCGCCACACTCTCCCTCCCAAGATACCCTTGAGCGGTTCGTGACACACACGCACACACACGACACGCACACCGTCACGGATCCGCCGCTAAGAACGGTTAGAATGAAGTCTGGTTCGTGACCGCCCGTGCGGGCACATATACGCTCACGCCGACACACTCGCTGCACAACCAATTTCGGAACCCGTTGCCTGGCCCCGCCTTGCAGGTGCCCTACGACCCGGGTCTCAGGCACTCGTTCTTCGGTGAAGAGGCCTCCATGGCGGCGCGCATGTTCACCCGGGGTTGGGACTTCTTTGCCCCCCCACAGGCGGTGGTGTATCACCTTTGGACCAGAGGGCACCGTGCCAGCTTTCGGCAGGTGACGTTCTGTCATGGCGCGGCGCAATGTTACCAGAGGTTCAAGGTTTCGACCACGGACGATGGCATGGTTTTGTTCACTAGCGATTAAAACGTCGGTCCGTAACAAAGATTCCCCGAAGTTTCCTGGTGGGGCGAAATTGAAGCGCGGAAAAATATCGGAGTAGAGTCGGAAGTGTTAGTTCCTCAGCCCTTCTGGCAACGGTGCTTGCAAAACCTACGTGGAAGATAGTCTTGAGGGATTGATCAAGTATCGTGCAGGAAGCTAGGCAGCGCTTGCAGCACTTCAATCCGCGTCTCGCCTTCGGCGTCTTGAACATCGCACGCTATCGTAACAAGCAGATATCGTTTCTCCGTGATGTGAAACACCGAACGAACGAACGATCGAACGGACGGACGGTTTCAAGCAGAACTCAACGAAAGAGGCCGAGGCGGAAGAGGCATCCGCGAATCGTCGGCTCCGCTGGCTGCTTGGTGGCGGCGGCAGCACCCCTTCTTCCTCGCCCCCGGGAAACGGCAGCGGCGGTGAAGGCGAGGGCAGCTCCGCCGGGGACCACGGCGAAGCCGCAGAGGGTGGTTTCTCGGAGGCTAAGGAGGAGGGGCAGGAAGCCTGGGGGCAGCAGGGGAGCGCGGAGGATGAGCAGCACTGCTATTTCGCCCGTCCTGGTGAGAAGCAAGCTTGCAGACGCTGCTGTGTTGTATCGTCTGCGTTTATCGCTCGTGATTCGACGCTTTGGACAGCGTCGACGAAACGGTGACCGCGTCAGAGATTAACAATCCCTTCAATTTTAACTATATGCTGCTATTGTGTGCTTGGATTGATGACGAGGCATACCGATTGGTGTTACTCTTGAGCCAGCGAACGAGAAGAGAAGGGGAGCGCTGTGATCTGTTTTGTTGCTCTGCCGTGGCTGAGTTTTTTCTACCGGTGTGACACGCACGACTCGTACGGTGCAGGGTATACTCAACATATGTAGAGGGGGGGGGTCATTGTTGAAGTTTCGGAACGCTACACACCGAGCTACTTGAGTTCGGCAGCCGGTTGTGTTACTTCTCTTGTTCTGCCGAGACCTACGGGCTACAGGGGCTGGTGTACACTCTCAAAAACTCTGTTAGCACCTGATCTACCCTACCAGTATCATGCAAGACATGAAAGACTAGAGAATTGGGCCACGCCATCGGGAAAATACGTCGCGGAATAAGGTTACCGCTCGGATCCTGCTTCGCTGGCGACTTCAAATGCATGTCGGTCGTAAAATCTCCAGCAAAGACCTTTCTCGTTTCCCAGACAGCTGATTGTTTTTTGTAGCTGAGGAGCAACCGGCAGACGACTGTGGCATACAGTCTTCAACTCTTGACTGCACTTGCAAGATGCGTAGTTGCATGTTGCGTGGCTCCCATGTGCGGCCTGCAGAGTCAAAAGTCCCTCGTCAACACCGAGGTACTGCTGTGATTTCTCCCCCTGGCATCAGGCTCCGATATCAGAGTCTCCGATATCAAACCTAGGTCCAAATTGAGCAGTAACCGTAATCGGGTACAGGTACAACTTACCCCCAGGGAGCCATCTAATTGGCCAAAATGCCATCGTACCCAGAAGTTATATATATACATACATATGTGCAACGAAGCCGAAATGACCCTAACTGCTTCCTCCCGCTGCTCTGAAACAGGCGAAGAGTTCGGACTGGGCACCGCGCGGACGCTGCAGTCCTTCGCAGACCGCGTTGGCGTAGACTTCCGGACGGCGACAGTGACGTCACCAAGCGCCAGGAACGCCGGCAGGCCTTCCGCCGACTTCACCGACAGCGCAGTGTCGGGGCTGGAGGGGGTGCTCGGCCTTCTACAGGGGAACCTTAAAGGCCCATGAGGCAGCAAGCTGGGCGCGGGGCGAGCGCCAGACGGAGAGGGGCTTGGTTTTGATTGGGTTGATGCCCGCCCGCCGATGGGAGCGGGGACGCGCGCCCGATAGCCCCGGGAGGAAATAGCAGGCGGTTTTCGTGTGATAGTGACGTTATTTTATACTAGACATCGCCCGCTCTTTTCCTGTACGGAGGGGGGGAGAAGTAAAGGTCAACCCAGGAGGGCTGCAGTTTTTGGAGGCGTGTTGATGCCAGTTTGCGTGTTGTTCAGAGGTGCATTGTTGGAAAGTTGCCCGACCCGACGCGAGTTTGTCGAGGGTCTTCTTGCGCCGACCGAGTGGTTCATTCTTCTTGGATGGCACAATGGTTTTGTTTCTGCGTGCGCAGACAGGCAAATTCGCGAAATCCAGGGCTGGTCTTGTACACACGGCAGGCCCAGTTGATGACTCGCGGAAGGAATTTACCATCCCTCCCTCCCTGCAAAAGCTGCAACAGACCCCGGAGCCTGTTCCGAACGCGACCTCCCGTTCCCCGTTGCTACTTTTGTCTTTTTTCCCGGTGAGTTGCTGTGCACGCGGTGAATTCCCTCGCTTTTGGCTTTGGCCACCGGTGTACGAGCACCCGGATGGCGATACGCACCATCCCCCCCGTGGAGTAGAGCCCGCGATACTCCGCATTCTTGCTGCCGCAATCGAACTGAACCGAACTGGCTTCTTCTGCCCGCTTTTTGTGCCCAATGGGGTGGACGATGTCTTGAGGTCTATGTGCACCATCTCCTCGGTGTACTGCTTCACCTTGGTACGGACGGTGCCAAATCATGGACTTTTGGGGCACCCGGCGCGGCTACATGTGGGCAAAATAAATGAACCGCGCCGTGTTAGTCCATATATATGCATCTCCCTCTGGCAAATATTGCAGTGTTACTGGGCACCGCGTTTACATGTATGTTCAAAAACAGTTAAAGTCAAGATAATTGTACCAAGAGCGTAGGTGCCGAGATCCGGCCCTGGCCGTAGGAAAGGGGCAACGACGGGAGAAATACGCAGCCCATCTTTCTCTGGTCGCGTTAAAAGCCAGTGTCCCACCCAAGCTGGTCCGCGCTTTTGAGCGGCGAGCGGCGGCCAGGGGTACCCACCAAAGATTTGTAGCCTCCAGCTGTACACTCTGTTGCACCCCCTCGCCCCAGATGATCCAAAGACACATCAGCATTGATTGCAATATCTGCTGGAGCACCATACACGCAAAGGCGAGCGAAGTGCTGCTCGTGCTGTCGCGTCCTTGCACGCCGCACCCAACCCAAACGGACCATGTCCGCTCAGCAATTGGAGCTCGCGGTGCTGTACGCCTACAACCCTCCCGGTGTTGGGGAGGAGGCGGCTGCTGTGAAGGGCCAGGTGCGGCGCGATCAAGTTCAGCAACAAGGGGATGATGGGAGCTCTGGTTCACCGTCAGTGCTACTGCTGTGTTAACGTGTTGACATCCCCCGCTTTGTTCTCTGGTTCTATTAGCCACTATGCAATACTGTACTTGTTTGCTCGCAGACTGCTGTGGTACGTGTGTACTCTCGCTGTCGGTCGAGTGCTGCTGCGTGTCCCTGCGGCTCTGCTGCGCCTGCTACTGGTGCAGCCAGCCGATCAGGCAGGCAGCGCAGTCATGATGCAATCATGATGGCACCAGCGCCTTGATGCCGTTGAACAATTCAATTACTGTACTCTCGCAGAGATTGGCCTGTCCGCCCTCGCTGCTACTGCTGAGTGCAGACACAGAACCGAGAGCGGCGTGGGCAGCAAGTAGCTAGGGGGGGTCCGCCGACTGCTGTTGACTAAACATATTACATTCTGCACTCGCGCAATTGCACGCGGTGGATTATGAGCTGAAGCTGATAAAGGGAGAAGCGATAGAATTAGGGATGGTCCTTCGAAGGATGGAAGGCAGCGTTACAAGCATTTTCAAGACTGCACATAAATGAGTATAGTCGATGCTACTTGGCCACCACGAAGAGTGTGTTGCACCTCGGCATGTACATAAGGTCTCCCCGATGGTCTTTCGCCTTTGTAGCATCGCAAACCTTCTGTTTAGTATGCGTACCAGCTAATTCACCATTCGACTTCACGGTCGACGAAGGAAAAGGGACGCCTGAGCCCTTCTCGCGATTATAACTTCCGTATGACCTTCCTCCTGCCAGGCCCAACTCCAATGCGTATGTACGTCAAGACATATACACCGAGAGGTGTATAGGCGGGCCCCGAAATACATATGACGAACACACACAGGCTCGTTCGAAGGCTACAGGATAACCCACCACTTGCATGTTACCAATTTCAACCAGGACGTCAAAGCCCCTTTCCTTCTTCTCCGCGACCGCCGTGTTCCACAGTCCGGCCACAGGGACGACCCCGCCCATACCTCTCCCCGAAACCGCCGCCGCCACGTTTCGCCTACCCAACTAGGCAACTCGGTATTGCGAGGAGGTCAAGGGCAGCCAAGACGGCTGGCGGCTGGCTCTGGAGCTGTTTCGCGTAACCGTTCGTCCGGAGGCGCGGTTCTTCTGCCTGGGCTGCCTCCAAGACGCGCTCGGCGCGCGGGCTGGCGCCCGGAGGAGGGTGGAGTCTAAGCACGACCGGTTTCTCATCAGGGAGGCGGTCATGGGTTGGTTGACTCAGGTCGGCGGAGGCGGCGGGGCGGAACTCGATGCCCAGGAGACTTTCATTCGCACCAAGGTATATTGATTGGTTGGCTGCATCTCGTTGTTGAGTGCTGCTGCTCGCATCTCTGCGTGGCTAATACTAGTTGATGGCGCTCTTTGTGACGTGTAGACGCGAATCACTGCTGTAGAGCTAGCTCTGAACTTGGCAAGGGTAGGACACACGGCAATGGCGGTGGTAGCAAGCAACCAAGAACCGGACCCTCTCGTTGAAACGCACAGGACCCGTTTGGTGAGCATTTAGGCCGTTTTGTGGTGCGCGGGGAAAACGCGCGATAGCGCGAGCAGGTGATCGCAGGCACGGTGACCGCATCATTGGTCCTGTAGCTCCAATCTCCCCCAAGCCCTGTGGTGCCTGCCGAATGTGAAACGTTTGGCCAACTGGGATGCCCAATCATCCATGGCATATCTGGTTTGGATGGATTACCAGCTTCTGGTTCATCCTTCCTTGTGAAACGTAGCCTGGGCCGGCGAACACCCGGCAAATCAACCGACCACGGCCTGAATTTCGACGAGTACCCCCCCCCCCATTCCCACCTCTTCTTGGCTCAGGTCGCTGTAGTCCTGGCCCTTCTAGTCAAGAGCGACTATCCAGAGTCTTGGACAGACGCTTTCGAGCAGCTGCGGTCGGTGCTGGTTGTTGGCAGCAGCAACTGCAGCGGTGACGCCGCCGTCGCGGCAGCCGCAGCGGGCGGTGGAGGGAGGAGCGCGGCCGCGGCGCGCGCGCACGTTGAGCTGTACCTTCGGGTCCTCTGTGCGCTGGATGAGGAGGTGGTTAGCTTTCACGTCGATCGCTCACGAGAAGAGGCGGATCATAATTCTCTGATCAAGGTGCGCATGTCGGGGGCGAGGTGTGTGATATTCACAGAGATATGAATAGGTTGCAGGCGGGTGGGTGGGTGGGTGGGTGGGTGTGGAGGCCTGCTGCAAGACAAAGGGGGCCGGTGCGCAAAGGCAAGGCAAGGCAAGGCAAGCAAGCAGTCCGACACCACCGAATGAGTCGGCAACCTGTTTATCGCGTTGTTGGTAGGGCCAGAGTGATCTCAGGCCCACGCGTTGCTACGAACCGACAATCCCATCTCCCGAGTATTAAGAAGTCGGGCACGGAAGTCGGAGTTGGCGTTTGGCTTTCGCGTCCGTGCCGTTGTTTTGTTTGTGATGTACACGCTTCTCGTTCTGTTACGGCTTCGTGAGCTGTTACTGCTGTCGTGTAGCTCATTGGCATGCTGCTTTTGGCATCAAGGCAGAAGGGTGCCTGGTTTTCTCTTGTTTTTGTCGAATGTGTGATTTACGTCCGTTCACGATGACTTTTTTAGGGGGGGGGCGTACTCTCATGTTTTGCATGCCTTAGCGGTTAGACCATTGACCACGCGTCCTCGAGAGGACGGAGCATTGTTCCCACAGGACCGATCACCGATGGCCAATCGTTCCTTTCTACTTTGCCAAAGGTGGCTCAAAAATGTCTTCCCGAGTCTGTCTATCCTAACGATATCACTTCCCGCCTTTTCAACCCACCTCCTACCCCAGTACAGCTACCGTCCTTTCCTCTCTATTCCATGCCTCAACTCATCTCCCTGTACGTTTCATCTTTTTTCCCAGCTCAGTCACGTACACTTCCATCTCCTTCTTGTACAACGGACATTCCGCGACTACATGAACACGGTCTTCGCATTCGAAGCCGCATTCGCATTTGAACTTGACGTCCTCGTCGTCTACCGTCCTATGTCTTCGTCGACGTTCTCGACGGCCTATGTCCCGGGTCCTGAATTTGACCTCAAGCTTTGTTCGTGCATCCATTGGTCCATGCAAGTAATCCTTGAACCCTTTTCCTTCCTTCAACATTCCGTACACTTCTAGACCCTCCTTATCCTT